AGGCAGGGGCTCTACCACTGAGCCACACCCCAGCCCCTCACTGGGGGACTCTAGGCAGGGGCTCTACCACTGAGCCACACCCCAGCCCCTCACTGGGGGATTCTAGGCAGGGGCTCTACCACTGTGTTCTTCTGTTGAGCAAAGTCTCCTAATTGTCATGGGGGTTCCTAGGTGAGTGAGCACTCTCCTGCTGAGCTATATCCTCAGTTCTTTTTTTGTTTGTTTGTTTTCAAGATAAGGGTTCTCTGTGTAGTCCTAGTCCTGGCTCTGTCCTGGGAATTGCTCCAGTTGAGAGAAAGAAGCCAGGGCTCAGCACTCTCAGAATGAAGATGCATTTTCAAGGGTTGGGGACAGGGCATTCACAGAAGATGGGGTAAGGAGTTGCCTGGAAGAGATCACAAAACAAGAGATTAGAAAGATCCAGAAGAGAGTCTGCCTGGCCTTGCCTGAGGACTGAATGAGGAAGTTGTGACATAAAAATACTTCCTCTCTGAAGCCCCACTCCTGCAGCTAAACCTAGGCATGTCCAGGCAGGATTCTGTTACAGAGAGGCCAACAAAAGCTGGGACATCAGTAGGGTCATCGTAGTGTCATGGGTTGAGCTCAGCAGCACCGGAAATGCCGGTTGCATGAACCTAAATGAAACAAGCTCTCCTGTTCCAGCCTGAGCCCCCACCTCCACCGCCAGCAGCATACTGGCCTTCCTCAACCCATCTGCCAGAAACCAGCCATACTGGATACACTGCAGAGGCTTGGACAAAGTCCCTCCTCCCTCCAGACAGCGCTTCTTCACTCAGCTAGGCTTTCTTTGTTGTTTGTTTTTTGACAAGGTCTCACTATGTACACCTGGTTGGCCTCAAACCCATAGGAATTTAACTAGCTCTGCCTCTGCCTCCTGAGTGCTGGAACTAAAGATCTGTGTTGGGATGGAGAGAAGACTCAGGGTTATGATCACTGGCTGCTCTTGCAGAGGACCTAGGTTCAATTCCCAGCACCCTCATCATCACAGCTTACAACTGTGTATAACCGTTCCAGTGAATCCAATGCCCTTTTTGGGTACCCACCTGCACCAGGCATGCATGTAGTACACATACATACATGCATGCAAACACTCATGCACATAAAATAAAAATAAAAAAGTTTTTAGGTCATCACACCCAGCTTTTTTTCCCCTCCAATAGCCCAGCTACCCATCTCCAATAAACCAATTAAAACCAATTTACCTGGCAGTAGTGGCACTCACATTTAATCCCAGCATTCAGGAGGCAGAGGCAGGCAGATCTCTGACTTGAAGGCCAGCCTGATCTACAGAGTCCAGGACAGCCAGGGCTACACAGAGAAACACTATCTCATAAATGAATAAATAAATAAATAACCAAGTAACTGTGAAAGGAGATTTATTCAGTGTGGTGTCTTTGGAATAGGAGCAAAGAAGTCTAGTCACATACACACACACACACACACACACACACACACACACACACACCCCAAACCCCTCTTCCTAGGTTTAAAGAGGGGGCAGGAGTTTACATAGGCAAACAGTCCCGATCAAGTATGGTCCCACCTATCACTGAGCCATCATTGTCTGGGCTCCAGTGTCTCCTGCAAGGCCTGCTGACAAGTGTCAGAATGGTGTGAAGTCTCTTCAGGGTGACAAGTTCCTCCTCTTACTGGCACCAGGCTCCTGCCTTTTTCTTCTTCCTGCATGAGACTCCTGGGGAAATTCCAGTTTGGGGGAAGGCATTATTTGAATAGTTGACAGCCACAGGGAGGGGGAGGGGCACAAGTATCTCTTCAGTGACCCTTTAGTCTTTCCAGGATGATTATAAGTCATGCTATAGCCCAGGCCAGCCTGGGAATCACTGTGTATCCCAGATTAAAATTCTGAGCTTTCTTGGGAGTAGAGAGATAGCTCAGTGTTTAAGAGGACCCGGGTTTGACTCTCAGCACCCACACTGTGGCTCACAACCTTCTGCAACTCCACTTCCAAGAGAACCCAATGCCCTTTTCTGGTGTCCATGGGCAGTGCCTACATGTGGTGCACAGACATATATGTAGACAAAACATTCATAAACATAATGATTTGAGACGGATGGTGGTGGCACACGCCTTTAATCCCAGCCCTCGAAAGGCAGAGGCAGGAGGATCTCTGAGTTCGAGACCAGCCTGGTCTACAAAGCTACACAGAGAAACCCTGTCTTGAAAAACCAAAAAAAATAAAAATAAAAATAAAGATTTTTAAATAAGCTCTCCATTTAAAAACAAAAACAAAAAAACAAAAACAACAACAACAAAAAAAAACAGCTTTTCTTTGTTCTTCCTGCCTGAGTCTGTTAAATGTTGGGATAATAGGCCTGAGGCACCACCATGCTTGGGGGACAGCCAGGGATTTTGCACCCATGTGTACACATGTGCACACACATGTGCTCTGTCCATGAGATAAATGATCATTTTCCCCCTATGTCTGCAAACAAACAAACAAACAAACAAACTTAGGCACAAAGAAATGAAGGGTTTTGCCCAAGGACCAAAGCTTGTTTTTTAGTTTTTCGAGACATGGTTTCTCTGTGTAGCTTTGGAGGCTGTCCTGGAACTAGCTCTTGTAGACCAGGCTGGTCTCGAACTCATGGAGATCTGCCTGCTTCTGCCTCCCGAGTGCTGGGATTAAAGGCGTGTGCCACCAACACCTGGTTTACACAGTGATTTCTGAGGTAACCTGGGCAAATTAGCAAGATCCTGTCTCAAAAACAAAATTTAAAAGAACTGTAGCTGGGCAGTGGGTGTGCACATCTTTAGACCCAGCACTTGGGAGGCAGAGGCAGCTGAACCTCAGAGTCTGAAGACAGCCTGGTCTACAGAACAAGTTCCAGGACAGACTCCAAAACAATATAGAGAAACCCTGTCTCAAAAAAACAAAAATAAATAACTAAATAAATAAATAGAACTGGTGCTATAGCTCGGCAGTAGAGTGCTCACCCAGGAACCCCCATAACAGTCAGAGGACTTTGTTCAATGGAAGCACACAGTGGTACAGCATCTGCCTAGAATCCCCCAGTGAGGGGCTGGGGTGTGACTCTGTGGTAGAGCACCTGCCTAGAATCCCCCAGTGAGGGGCTGGGGTGTGGCTCAGTGGTAGAGCACCTGCCTAGAATTCCCCAGTGAGGGGCTGCGGGTGTGGCTCAGCTGTAATGTCTTTTTGAGCATGTTTGAGGCCCATGTTTTCATTTACAACACTGAATAAACTTTTTTTTTTTTTTTTAATGAGGGTCATGGGAAACCATTAGGTTGAGGAAATTCCTTGGGAAACAACATTAAGCACCAAACCCTGGAGGTGGAAAGCTGGCCTGGAACTGAAGTCTTGAGCAGGGACTCCCCTGTATTCATCCAGCTCACCTGCCCTTCCCCCATGTCTCCCCAGGTGGACTAGTATGTCTGACTACCAGGAGCAACCTATCCAACCTTCCCTACAAGGAGGTGCTGGAAGCAACCTTAGACTCTCTGGAGCAGGCTGGAGCATGGGAATGCCTGGTGGCCAAGCCTGTGGAGCACTGGGAACTGGCTACCTCAGAACACAAGACGGGCCTGGGCAACTGTGCCAACGATGGCTTCATCTCCGGCATTGTCTACCTTTACCGGAAGCAGGAGAGAGGCCAGGGACACTGACACAAGAGGCCCAGTGTCCAGGCCCCAGTTGACCCCTGATCCTCTGTGTGTGGTCCTGGCTGATCCTCTTGGCCTTCTCTTCTCTGTAGAATTGGGTCCATCTTGTTGGGAGGCCCTGCTGGTTGCAGGTTGCAGTCTACCAATGACCTGTCAGCTATCTCCAAACTTGGAAACATGAAGGACAACCCCACCACCACCCCACTCCTCACCATCAGGGGCTTCCTGCTCTCTACCCAACCTTACAGAGAGGATGTCTCTGAGCCCAGATGCCTGACTTATCTCAAGGATGACCCTTGACATCAGTCCTTGAAAACATTCTTCCCCTGATGCCAACATGATAATTAGGTAAATGCTGTAGCCATTTTGATAGGGCCATGCTCCACTAATTCAGCTATATGATAGGAGCAAGCCACTTAATGCAAATTAGGGTTTGTCCCCAGGCTCCCAATTGTGGTGATAGATTGTTTATGATCTAATAAAGCCACTGAAGATCAGAATGCAAAGTCAGCCACACTACTTAGCTATAGAAGCCGGGCAGTGGTGACACCCACCTTTAATCCCAGGACTCAGGAGACAGAAGGAGATGGATGTCTGTGAGTCCAAGACCACCCTAGGATACACCAGAGTGAATCATTCTAAAAGAGTAACAGAGCTCATGCCTTTAATCCCAGCGCTAGAGAATTGTATAAGGAAGAAGCAAAGGGTCTCATGTGAGATTCAGTTTCCAGTCACAGGGAAGACAGGACCTCTATTTCAGCCCTGGTAGAGGTAAGAGCTACTGGCTGGATGCTTTGCCTTTCTGATCTTCAGCTTGAACCCCATTATCTGTCTCAGGGTTTTTATTACTTGTGCTACATCCCAGTCCTATATATTTCCTATAGTCTGGAATAAAGTTGAGTTGTCTCACTGAAGTCATATACCAGAGAGCTATCTCCAGTGTATCCATAGCTGTGCAAACCCTGTTCCCCACTTCTGCTTCCTCCACCCACATGGGCCAGTGACTAACGACCCCCAGGAAGAAGGAGACCCACACATTTCCCAAAGTGGCCCCTTAGGAATGCTCTGCTAGGAAAACCCCAGAGGGACTGAAAAGACTCCTCTAGTTTCTTTGGACCCAGAATGCAGGGCTGGAGGGTTAGAGGGCTTGCTCTGCAAACCATGAGAAACTGAACTGAGTTACAGGCATACCTGCGTGTAACACCCTTGTGGACAGCAAAGACTGACAGAGGGGGAAACACCTCACAACTTGCTCTAGCTTCTACGTGTCCACACAGGTGCACCCACACACTCAGGTGTAATAGCTGTACACATACCAGTCACCGAAAGGAAAACTAAAAGGAATGAAGAGACTATTGTCTACTGTCACAACCGAGTTCCATTCCATCCCCCAGCAGTATGACAGTCCTTGAAGCAATGATTTTTCAAGAGATGTTGAATTAGGAGCAGCAAGGTGGCTCAGGGGATAAAACCATACTTGCCACCAAGCACTTGTTGCTCTTGCAGAGGACCTGGTTCATTCCCAGAACTCATGTTGCGGTTCACAACTGAAACTCCAGTCCAAGGAAGTCTGGTGCCTTCTTCCTGACCTTAGCAGGCACCAGGCACACACATGGTGCGCATACATACATGAGACAAGACAGTCATACACATACAATGTTTTAAATGAAAACAAAACAATAAAGTTTTAAATGAATAAATGTTGCAGAATATTTGTTTATACTGTGAAGATGCCTCTTTACCAAGGCACCTTCTGACTGGTTTAGTAAAGAGCTCAATGGCCAATAGCTAGGCAGGAAGAGGTTGGGCAGGACTTCTGGAGACAGAGAGGACTCTGGGAAGAAGAAAGGTGGAGTCACCAGCCAGATGATGCAGAGGAGGCAGGTTGGGCAGTACGGAGATGCCAGGGAGACACTGAAGAAAGCACACATGTGGTACAGATTAGAGGTAACCAAACCATGTGAAAAAACATAGATTGATAAGTGGGTTAATTAAAGTTATAAGCTAGTGGGACAAGCCTAAGCTAATGACTAAGCTTTCGTAATTAATAATAAGCCTCCATGTCATTATTTGTGAACTGGCAGCCCAAATAAAAGTCCCACTACAAATAAATAAAATGAATTTTAATAGATATTTACTTTAAAACCTCAACTCAAGGTAGGTATGGTAGTGTATACCTGCAATCCCAGCACTCAGGAAATAGAGACAGGAGGATCAGGAGTTTAAGGCCAGTCTCCATTACATACAGAGTTCAAAACCAGCCTAGGATTCATGAGATCCTGTCTCAAAAAAACAAAACAGAGTTGACAAATTGGCTCAACAGGTACAGGCAGTTACTTTGAAGCCTTGCAACCTGAGTTCAGTTTACAGGATCCACACTGTGAGAGAGAAAACCAAATCCACAAGTTTGGCCTCTGACCTCCGTACATGTGTTATGGAAAACATACACTCACATATGCACATGAAGGGAGCAGCTTCCCTTTCGGCAGCCATAACAGCTGAACACATGCTTGCCATAACCTTGCCTTGGTCACTTAGAGGGCAGATGCCTGCCTTGTGACAAGGAACCAATCAGAAGTTAGTCACTAGAAAGTCAGATGCCTGCCTCGTGACAAGGAACCAATCAGAAGTTAGTCCATAACAACCAGTTGACCAAGCAACACAGGGCAAGCCCTCTAAGGCTGGAGGCTCACCAATAGTGAGCCTGTGCGTACCCCTAGACACTCCCCTTATGCTGCCCTATAAGATCTCTTGGGAGGCCCTAGGAGCTGTCTTTTGCGAGCCATCCGCCACAGCGGGTGGGTGAAAGACCCGAGCTAACATGGGGTTAGCTCGTTAAATTACAATAAAGCCTCGTGCAGTTTGCAGCAAGCTCTCGAATCCGCCTGGTGATTGGGGTGACCGAAGTCGTGGCCTAGCACCCCGGATACCTGAGTTTTCCAGGGGTCTATCATTTGGGGGCTCGTCCGAGATTTGCGACCACCCCTCACCTGAGTGGATTCGATCTTGGAGGTAAGATGATTGGAGCTCGCAACTTATATGTTCAATGTTATATGTTTGCTTGTTTTTGTTGGTTTGGTGCCACTTGAATTTGCTGTTTTGTTGATCTGAGCCTGCGAGGGACTCGTGACTCGTATTTGTATAATTCGGACCTCAGGGGAAAATAGACGTACTTCGAGACCTTGAAGTCCCGCCCTGGACAAAAGTCCGAGGGTTATTTGAATTAAACCATAGGGAAAGCAGATATGCCCAGAAATAGACGTATTTCTGGAACCCTTGGTTCTGCCCTGGACGAAAGTCCAAGGGTTGTTTGTAATTTTGGTTTTGGGCACCATTTCTTTACCTCTCAGTTTGTCCTATCTAATGTCTGTCCTGTCTAATGTCTGTTAAGCCTGGAGGATTGGAATGGGCTGGGTGACTGAACAGTTGAGCAACAGGTTTGTTATCTGTTATCTGATCTGTTGCAGCCCACGCCCTAACCGCCTGCTTGTGTGTCAATTTTATTATTTCTGTTAATTTTGTGGATGTGGAGGTCCTATGTTGGGGTTTCTGGTAACATCTGTGAGTAGGCCTACAAGAATTGTTTAGGACAGAGGTTCGGGCGGCAGCCTTCCGAAATCTATAGGGGAGACTTGGTTTCGAACCAAGTTGATCTCCATGGGGGCTAGCCATCTGAAATTCCAAATAGGACCCTAGTCTGTGTTAAACATCTCTTTCTGTCCCTACTGCCCACGCACATGGCATGCATGGGTCAGGGGTCTTTTCTTGATGCTCTGAGCAGGTGGTGCTCCGAGGGAGCCACCTCAACTGTGATCGGCAGATGCTCCTGGAGGACAGACTGCTGCTCTGAGGACACCCAGGAGGTACGAACGGAGGCCAAGGACTTGGATCCTCCTCAGTTAGCGGTGATTGTAGCCGCCGGGTTCTGCCGCCTGTCTTCCCGGCGCCATTGCCTTATAAGCGGCGCGGGCGGATTGAGTTGGCGTCTGTTCTTTCCTGTCTATTCTGTGTTATCATTGTTGGTTTTCAATTCAGGATCCACCATGCCACCCCTTTTCTATCCCCACCTGCGGGTCTGTGAGGCAGGCCAGGGGGGGCTGTTCCTGCCCCAGCTGCCGTCCTGCCTGTCTCGGGAGTTTCCCTGCTCTGAGGGAACATGGCTGCAAGGCCGCCATCTGCCTGGCTGTCCGTCTTTCTGTGCTCCACACGCATGGTATGCAGGGGGGCTACGGGGGTCTTTTTTCCAACCCCTGCATTGGCCAAGGGTCTGGGGTTACCAGCAGCACCCCCATCCCAGGTCTGCCTTGAGCACATGGAGCTGGGGCATATGAACTTATCTGGCCTGATCCAGACTTCTAAAAAAAAAAAGGGAAAATGTAGGAGACTTAAATAATAAAGAGGGAAAAAGAAAAGGAAATTTGTCTAAGATTGTCTAAAAAAATCAGAGGAATGAACTAAAAGTATATAAAAAAGGTTATAGAAAGTTAAAGCAAGTCGTAGAAGGTCAGAAAAGAGGTTGTTAAAAGAGAAAAATGTAAACTGTTTGCTATGGTTTCTCATGTCTACAAATAGTAAATTTTAAAAATGGTAATATAAGTTAAAATTTTAACCACATTAAGCTAATTCTGTTTTAAAAGTCCTGTTTATTTCTCAAGTAATTTATGTATACTTGTTTTAAAATGTTCTATTTCCTGGTATAACCTAAGTTCTGTTACAAGCATGTTAAGCAAAGGGTGCAAGTTACGGCCATTTTTTAACCAGCCACATGGCAAACTGGTCACATGGCTGACTGGTAGCCGTTTTGCTAAAGTTGAAAAAAGGATATTTAAACCGCCATCTTGACTAAAGGTGACCACATGGAAATTAGAGGCACCATCTTAGAAACAAGTTTTTCAGTTAAGATTTAAAATGTTAATGCTTCTATATATTACAGAAAGACCTTAAGGGAATTTAAATTTCTTTTTAAAAACCAG